AAAAAATATAAAATAAAACTATAATTTCGTCAACCAAGAAGGAAGTTTACGGGATAAACGGAGGCTTTGGGAGGATGTTGGACGGGATAACACTGAAATTCTCTGTTTCAGGGAGTACTGATGCTGCAGGACCAATATCGTGCCTTGATGCAGTACAGTATACCGAAAGATTGCCATGTAGATAAGCCACCAGCAAAGAATACGCAAGACTGGCACTGCGTTAAGGTACGAGTCCCGAGAAACATGCTATTCTAACGCTAGAACCACTGAACAATTGAGTGACTTCGAATTTTTCAATAAGAATCAGAGCAATACATTTCTGGATTATATTCATCACTGCCAATTTCACTTGTCTGGTAGTTCTAGTGAACCCTTTGCACCCCAGAATATTTTGTACAACTAACATAAAGAAATACCTTGTATAAATTAAGTGACAAAACTATATTTCAATGTTCCATGTGTTGATATATAAAAAATTTAATATTGAATAGTAAACTATAATTTTGGGTCAAATCAAATGGCGACTGAAATCTCGAGTGCAAAGGGTTGGAGGTGTAATTGACCAGAAACTAGTAGATCTTTTAAAATGTCCATTTTTGTTTGTACAGTGTGGCGCGCACAATTTCAAGAGACGCGAGACATGTTTTAAGTGTTCCGCCTCGAGAGCAGAGAGCGAAGAGGGTGGAGAGGGTAGCGATGAGATTAGCCCGCATCCTACGAACACTGTTCTTCTGCGAGGTTTAGACGTTCTGACCACCGAGGACTCAGTTCTGCAAGCAATGAAAAATCTCTCGTCGATGCCTATACGCAGTATACGTATCGGCCGTGACTCGCTGACAAACACGTCGAGGGGTGTCTGTTACTTGGAGATGGGCAACGTGGTGGACGCCATGTATTTGCACACGGCCCTCACTAAGCAAGGGTTGGTGGTGGACGGTAGGAAGGTGGAAATCACGTACTGCAAGCTTCACCAAATAAGTAACACTAACACGTGGAAGGCGAACGACAGTCAACCGCAGAGGTACACTTTAGACGACGTTGCTCAATTGGCAGAGTACAGTGCCAACCTATACGCTAAGACACCTGCGCAGAAAGCTCACTATCTTCAGTATTACACGCAATATTATCAGAATCAAATAATGCAAGGCTCGACGATTACGTTGCCGTCATTGAACCAGACTGATAGAGTAAACGCGGCGGCGGCCGTAGCACAATCCGCCATACAGCAGTTGCAAGCATCCAGGAAATTAGGCGACGCCGACGAGATGAAGAACAGACCGACGCCCACGGCGCCGACTAGCACCTCGCTGGCAAGCGGAAGAGTCCCTGCACATGCTGGAGATGGTAAAGTGTATTGTAAGTTTATATAACAGGAATTGAATTCATTTCATTCCACCTTAAAAGATTGCTTACTAAACTCGTGTCTATTGCAGCTGTGCCGGATGTCAGCACCTATCACTACGACGAGTCCTCGGGCTACTATTACGACCCAAGTACAGGATTATATTATGATCCCAATTCGCAATATTATTACAATAGTCACACGCAGCAGTTCCTTTATTGGGACGCTGAATCATTTTCATATCAACCGGCGAAGGTAATTAACATTTTGGAATAGCAATGAAAAATATAGGGTAGATATGGAAATGTATATAATTGTTAATATCTTATAGACTGCTACAACCGTGACACAAGCGACAGGAACGACGACCAGCGGGACTACAATAACCGCCACCGCTAGTAACACGGACTCGACGAACACCGTCACCAATCAGGCGACAACTTCGTCGGTCACGAGTGCGATCCAGGAGTCGTCGAAGGAAGACGAGAGTAAAAAGAAAGACAGCAAGCAAGATAAAGTGAAGGTAGCAAAGAAAATAGCAAAAGACATGGAACGCTGGGCGAAAACGTTGAATCAAAAGAAAGAGAATGCGAAGAGTAATTGGAACTCCGAGTTCGCTGGCGGTGATGGCAATCAAGGGGTTGGAAGCGGAGCCGCGGACGCGGGGTACGCCATATTGGAGAAGAAATCTCTCGCGAGTTCTTTCCACGAGGACGAAGATCAGAGCGGGAATAACGGTTTAGTCGCTGCCTATGGCGGTGGCAGTGACACGGAAGAGGAGATAGAGGATGTGCAACAGGAAGAAAGACAACACACGGATTGGACGAAGTTGGCCTGTTTGTTGTGTAAACGACAGTTCCCGAGTAAAGAAGCTTTACTCCGGCACCAGCAGCTGTCGGAGCTTCATAAACAGAACTTGGAGAATTGGTATCAAGTTCGTGGCTTGGACCCTAATGATCCGCAACAGAGGAACAACAAGTATCGAGATCGTGCCAAAGAAAGAAGAGCAAAGTATGGAGAACCAGAGCCTCCGCAGCCGAACAAACTGAAAGAGAAATACCTGAAGACGAGGGTCGAGGAAATATCTGTGTCATACGAGGAACCCACGAGAGCCGGCATTGGCTCGGATAACGTTGGCAATAAGCTGTTGCAAAAAATGGGCTGGAGCGAAGGAATGGGCCTTGGGAAGTCTAACCAAGGTAGAACGAGTATCATCGAGGCTGAGAGAAGAGTTCCTACGGCCGGCTTAGGGGCGAAATCATCGTCGTACAGCGCACTACCCGGG